AAAATAAAAGCAAATTCAACTTGTACCTGATCCGATTCAAAGGGGATTTAATTATGGGCGCATTGGTACGTTGCTCGGATCCCGCATAGGACTCTGGATATAAAATCCAGAGAATTCCCTTACGACCAAAGGGAAATATCTTTCTTCTACTACATGTTGTTTAATCGAACGGCTTTTACGCGAAGGCAAACCAGATGCCATGGTTGGGGAGCATACATTTTTTTTGTTATTAATTCAAAGATCTGTTGTGCCTCTTCAGGCATAGCATGAGTTCTCGGGATGTTTATAACCAGAGTTTTAAGGGTGATCGGAAAGCGTCGACGATCCTGTCAAATAACATTTTTATGGATATATCTGTAACTATTTGAAACCTAGAAGAGCGAAGATTTATATGCTAAAATGACGCAGAAACTAATAACCTTTTTTCATGTATGCCCAAAAGGGTGAGTGCTGGCCCAGTCGGCCTAGAACAACATTCAAGCAATCTTGTACGAATTTGATCCAGTCACATTCAAGCTGCCTTATGGCTTCAACTTAGGGATTGAAACGATGAAGCAGTTAGTAAATACAATCACACAAATGTCAGGCATCCAGCTTCAGATATACATGTATCTCAATGCAGCACACGTACTCAATACGAAATTAACACTGGGATACGTTTGAAATTGATTTAAACACGCCAAACATCAAATTCTCAACTACGAAAAGCAAGAAGTCCCAGTGTCGCTGGCGAAGTGGGGGCCCATCCTTATTCGCGCATCAGATTCTTCGAAGTCTTGTTCTTGCTTTTTGGTTATCGTAGCATGCCCCCAGCGCATTCGTTATGAGCGCTGATGATGGTCGGTGCTAAGCACTTCTTCTTTGATCCAGGTTGCGCAGCTACTGTGTCGGCTTCTTCTAAGATTTTCCAGCTATCTCTTCGTTGGGGCAGTAAAGGTCTTCATTATGCCCTCCATCCCAGGGTGTGGCGTGGCGGATACCCAGAGACTCCATCCGTCACTTGTCACGAACTTGGACTGTAATATTCAGCCCATTCTCCTCGACATACCGGTGGAGCCTTCCGCGCTGAGAACTGGGTAGGCCTCAAATGCGTTGAAAAGCCACCACCCCATCAGTTTAATAAGGAGTCGATCCGTATCCATGTTAAGTAGCGCAGTCGCTCCTCCGATCCGCACCGAATGAGTTGAGAAGCGCGAGGGGTCAAATCCCAGTCTTGTTTCCCCCCTTCTGATCACCATCGCTACATCGCTCGCAGTGATTCCGCCGCTCTGCAGTGATAGTGCAGGGGTATTGTTTGCCGTTTTGAACTCCCGTGCGTCTCGGTGGACCCATCTAGCAGCACCAACTGGGCAGAGTACCTTGTCTCCGGTCTTGTGATGGTAGCGCACTTTTTTTGCTTCCGAACTGGTTATTCTTTGCTCCATTTAGCTTCAAACCCACCATGCTCGCTTTGCGTGGAGACGCCGTCTGGCATGCGTCGTCAACAAATGTTATAGCCGATAGCCGGACAATGTAGCTATGGGATTTGTCCCCCCTGTGAACAAGTATTCCGACTTCTTTGCAGGAAAAAGTAGCCGAGTAACAGGCCACACCACAATAACTGATCTCGCGGAAGTGTGAGGTTCATGTCGTTGAATATAACTCGCAACATACGCGCAGTCAGGGGCTGCTGCTTGGTGACCGGGTTAGTAAATCGACGGATTCCATGTAGAAGAATAGCGTGACTGGCATTAACACCGGGATCGTATCCTGCTGAGTTTCGATGGTACCAGCGAATCTCACAGAGCTTGCCGCATATTGTCGAGTAGGAGTTGCCCTTATTTTCACAATTCATGCCAAACTGCCACAAATATACTGCGTACGCGCCGAGCTGCATTGTGTTGTGGTTGACGTCTGCCTCTGTCAGCCACGGTTCGAACTTCATCATACTGCACAACCGAACCCATTGCGACCATGCCGAATTCTATTTCGGTCGTGTCGACTGGGCTAAAGCTCCTGCTTGCAATAGCGCTCCCAGAGACGCGAGAGATTTCTCTAGTCGTTTGGGATCTGCACTTCCTGCCAAGACGATGACAGACGAGAAAAAGTTAGTGCATGTGACAGGGATTGCCACACTCTGCTGCCTGCGTCCGCCATTTCGTTGTCGACCCCAGCCACGTGTGATGGTGTCGTGAAAAAAAAAGCATGTTGCTCTGATAAGTCGAAGCAGTATTTGCGCAATGAGATTCCTGCTAAACCTCTTGTTACTCCAAGCGACCGCCGACGTGTTGTCAAACCATAACTTAACGTGCGATTCGGGATTCCCGTCTCCGCTCTTCCACGAACGTCCCCATCTTAAAGTCGCGTAGACAACACTCATGAGCTCCCTAACGTTGATGCCGAAATCATTGTTTCCAGTTTCATTGAATTCTTGAATCAGCTGCTGCTGATCGTTGTCAAATTCAAACTGGAAGAACTGCTTATGAGCAGGAAAAAGTACGCACAGTCCTCGATCACCGGCATCCATGTGCACGTGATAATTGACCTTAATGTGAATCGGACCATCGGGATAGAGTTGAGGCTTCTTCACAGTAAAATAAGCTCAAACCACTTTAAATCCTCCACCACTTCTTGCGAAATCGGAGTTGACCCGAAGCGTGAAGACAAACGTGCATGTTCCGCTATTCGCTGGAAGAATGACGCTGCTGGACGTATACATGTCACCACGTGTCTTAGGCTGCCTACAAGGTTGTTCAGCTGCGTCCTGGTTGTTCGTTCGCGGCCGATGACCTCTCGGATCCATGCCAGCGCCTTCGTCATCTTCTCTGGAGGCATGGAAACTGTCAATGCATTGAGGTTCCAGTTCAGTCCAAGGGGTTTTCCTTCCTTGAACCAGATAGAAAACTTTTTCTCGTAGACAGTGGTCATCGATACTTAGGCCAAGATTCGCCTCGTAAAGTCGCGTGCCGACGTCAGCTTCAGTCGCGACATCACACCATGCCTTAGCATCGAAAAAGCCCTTGGCGCAAGTTGGTTGATCTGGCCACGTTGGGGCAGCACGAGCGTATAAATGATTTATCGCCGCACCAGCAACCCGGTATGAATAGGGCGATTTTTTCCAGCCAAACGTACAGTATAGGTCGGTCACAAGGATCCCCAGCTCCGGGGATCGTCCCTGAAAATCACCGAACGGCATCAGCAGCAACAGGAATATGGCGGAAAACGCCGTTGACGTCACCCGTCATCATATTTTGCTGACCTGGATGTTCGGAGGCCACATTCAAAATGCGTTTGGCAATTGGTTCTACTCCATCGTAAGAAACAGTGATCTCTTCTTCGTCTACCGTGGTGTCATTGATGGACGCTCCTTTCAGGAACGACAAGTCGTGTATGAGGCGCGCGTCCTTTGTCAAGTCGACATCACCCTTCTGGACGGCACTAAACGGGCTGCAAGTGATGTTTTCCAGGAAATTTAATAGCTCGATATCCAGAATAACATATCGATTTGTATCTTGACCAGCTCTGAGACTTTTGATGAGGCTGTTCAATGCGCGCCGAGCAGATCCCTGATTCTTCGGGATGGATTAGCTTCCTCGACCTAAATATCATTAGTAGCGACGCCTGTTCGTCTCCGTATCGCAGTTTCGCTATGTTTGCGAGCCTCTCTATTTTTTGGCACTCGTAGAATCGATAATAGTACGGGTTAGATTAATACGGTATTTTGTGGTTCATATGTAGTTCGCGATACCAGTCAGTTATAGGTGAGAACAAAAGGTTTCAGATCTTATTCCAGCCTCGCGTAGCCCTAGCTCTAGGTAACACAAAATGATGGCCCCAAAGACAGCGGTAACCAAATTAATTGGCCAAATCTGACAGTTGGTCACCCTTTAGAAATGCGTTTGGTCACGTGATCAAAAATCAATTGGTCACGTACAAAAAACTGCATTAAGGTGCTCATGAGCGATACCGACACAAACACAACGTTTGAACAGACGCACAAGATACACCCCATCGATGGAGGACACCGGGGTCTAGGTGACTTTAGTGCGCAAACTTGCGATAAGCGGCGTGGCCTAACGCATCCACAATAAGATGTCGGCCTGAGCCCCGTTCCACAGGTATGCGATACTGCAAGCATATCTTTCACGTTTGTCTGACAACAGCAAATATGTAAAATATTCCTTAGGTGATCACAGGAGCTGCTTGTGTTCATAAACTCACGGTGCTGATCATACTGGCGATTCTAGAGACAACCTCAATGCCGCATGTAGATAACCACTCGGCCAATTTTGCAGCGCGGTGGCATCGGATTGATGTTCATCTGCTGGGCGAGTAAGATGTCATTGGTGGAGCAAGACTGAGTGTACTTCGAAGTGTGGGGTATTTAGCAAAAGAAATCCACGAACTAGTTGATGACAAGGCTCACCGAGTGAGGCAACGTGAGCGTATTCTCTATGCAACTACGACAAACGACATAACAAGCATTGAGGTCCTCCATTTGACGTCAATAAGTATAACTACTAAATAAAATCTTTCTCACGTAAGTATGTTTTATTTTAAATTTAGTTGTTACTACTGTTTCGCTAGACATCACCCTCGTATTCGAACGAGTTGTCCTGGACATAGATAGCCTCGTCATCATTTTCCTCACTCATCGGGGACATGTCAGTGCTGTACCGCTCAGAATCTGCTTCTTCGTCAACTACATGACTATCCCTTTCGCTGCTCGATGCAGAATCCTCGATGTCTGTCACATTCGGAAATCTGGGTGCTTTTGGCAGTACGAATCCTGATCGCGCAGGTGGAACAGCTATTCCAGTTATCTGTAGTAGGTCACACTGAAAGAACGCGAACACAGTCGGGGGAAGCTGGCACTTCCGTAAATCTCTTGCCGATTGTATTGCGCTTGCCGGCTTTGATGTAAAACCAAAAGTGAACTATAAAGACATGTACGCCGACAAACCGCTCTACCTAGGTATCACTAGCGTCCCAGTGACAGCGTCCTGCAAGATAACGTCCTGGTAGCTCTCTGCCACGATGTATACCAGCCCGAGTTGACAAACATGTGCAGTAGGCAATCTCCTACGTGCGTGGCCTCATCTCATGGGCCACAGCACTTGATATGCACTTCACTGCGTGCGGAGCCACTACACAGTGGCTAACTACCAGCACATGCTGTCATAGCTCAACTACAGAGCTTTACTCACTGTATTGCGTGGTCGTGGTTGGGCTTTCATGCCGTCACCCACTACAGTCCCTCTCCAAGCCCAATTCGACCACTCAGTCTTTTGCTTGTACAAATTGTATTTCGAGTAACTCACCACTCAGTGATAGTTCAACTCATCGTGACTAATCACTCGACTAGTCAACCGGTCCAATTTATGTGACCAACTTCAACACGTTGCAGTTGAAGCAAACTTGACCATGCAAATCCAACAGAAAACGACCAGAACAGCCACAGTATCAAGGAAAAACCTTAATTTAGTGAAAGTAAAGTCATTATACTGAGGTGTATACATGTATACACTTTAGCTTCAACGTCGCTTTCCTGACGCTTCAAGCGCTTTGAGGTGACGCTCAAGCTTAGTGTCTTTGACTGCAGCAACGTACTGTTGCACTAACGTACTCACGTCTTTGTGCAGTGCTGCTAGAGGCTCCCACGAATCCTCTATTGCCTCTAATCCTTGCCACCCGACAAGGATCTCGTAGGCTCGGCTCGTGTCGTTCCACCGATGTCGAAGTAGCTCGCGCACGCGAAGGATGATGCCCTGAGCAGCCACGTGCTCCAAGAGCTCTTCAGTCACCTCGAGGTCCTTGTCGGCGAAGAACTTGAGCCGCGAGGCATGCACGTCAAGTTCCACGCCAGTAACAAGATGCTTCACCTTGAAGACATTCTGTAGTTGTGCTCCAGTGACAGCGTAGGGTCCAATCCATGTAACGAGTAGCTTGTTCTGTCCTTTCTCATCCACACGTGATCGTAGTACATAATCGCCCACGTTGAAGTTGACCACGTTATCACCTCGCTCTTTTTTCTTGTTCAGTCGTGTCTGCTTGAGGCGGGCATCTTCAACTGCTCTGTGCATGTCTCTGACACTAGCTCGTAGCTGAGCCAGGCTTGACTCGATCTCGGCCGAGGTTCGGGTCGGCTGGACACTGGGAGCCACCTCTGGCCCCAAGTATACAGCCTTCAGAGGCGAAGGGGGCTCCAGCCCGGTAAACAGCTCGCCCGGCGTCTTGCCTGCCAACGACGGCACGGCAGTGTGATTTAGACTTGCTTGTACGATAGGAATGAGCCTTGGCCAATCCCTGCAGTTGAGTTTGTAGTCCAGGATAAGTACCCGTAGAACTTGTAGGATATCCCGATTAACCCGTTCCACAGACCCGTTAATCCATGGGCTGTAGGTCGGCGAAAAGATTTGCTTGCACTTCAATCTATTGCACAGCTCGTTGATCACTTCATTCTTGAAGTGGGTTCCTTGGTCACTAATCCAGTCCTTAGGTACTCCAAATCTGCTGTGCCAATCCATGATAGCATCAGCCGCCACTGTACTTGTTGGTGTCTCACATTTGACAAGTTCGCAGTAGTGACTAGCATCATCTTTGAGCACCAGTAGATATTGTAGGTCACCGTAGGTTTCACCTAGGTAAAGAAAGTCCCAGTGGAGCGCTTGGTTTCGCTCACTGCATCGGTAGGTTTCACTCCAGGGCCTTGGCACCACCTTCCCCCCTTTTACATGATGGCACAGGAGGCAGCTTGCCAGAAATCTGTCCACGCATTTTCGAAGGAAAGGCACGTAGAAAATACGGCCTAGGTGTGCCAGCATAGCATCACGTCCTCGATGTCCTTGGGGGCCGCAGTGTGCGATGATACACAGGCGGCGGAGCAGATCTGTGGCCTCCACTGGAATGTACAGTCGATTGTCCTTGCGTCGAACCCCGTCATCACCTTCCTGCAGGCGCTGCATCTCAGACTTGTCCCCGAGTTTGCGTTGGGCATCTGAGATGGAGTTCAGATCGGGCCATACAAAGCCTTCGTCGTCGAGTGGCCGTAGTGATAGACGTTCATGTTGTTGTTGTCTACGGGTCTGAACTTTGCGTAAACTAATGGAACTTGGCGGTCGAGCCCACCTTGTTACCATATCAGCCCATACGTTGTCCTCCCCAGCGATGTGGAAGATTTCGTAGCGAAATTCACCGAGACGCATAGCCCACCTCAGTAACTTGCCACGGATATGCTTCTTCACAGTGTCGCTCGGAGCGAACACGTGAATAAGGTTTTTGTGATCACAATACAGACGAAACCCACACGGACGTAGAAGGAGGTGTGGCAGCTTGTCACATGCTGCCACAATGGCGAAAGCCTCCTTTTCAATCACGCTCCAGTTAGCTTGCGATCCCGTAAATGTACCACTCAAACAGTGAAGAAGGCGATGATTTTGCTCCCAAACAGGTTGACCACCTCTCCATGTCTCCACATCAGTCACTATCACACTCCATGCTTCGTTAGAAGCATCAGTGAACACTGAAAGTACTCCCTCTGGACTTGGATGTGCCAACATTGCAGCATCGGCGAGGCACTCTTTGACTTTGCTAAAAGCAGCCTTTTCTTCCGTAGTAAAACTGACTGGTAGTCGAGCTGCAACTCTCTTAGTCCGTTTTCCCTTTCCCAGAGTCAAGTCAAGGCGCGTCTGCAACGCTTTCACATTGCCTGCATAGTCTACCAG